TTGATTTTGATCAGCTCACGTGGACACAACACTTTGTGATCCTCTAAGAAGTCATGAACATATTAATAATCTCAAGTTTAAAACAAAATCACCTTATGAGTGCATGGCTAAGTGATTTGGTTTCAATTAGTTCATGGTCACAGCACTTTCTTATGACCTTTGAATAAAAGTAATACATTCTTTCAATCAAATAGGAAACAAAATTACCTAGTGAGTGCATGATTGCTGTTGCTACTCCAAGTAATACATGGACTACTCGCTATCATATGATAAAATAGAGACTACCTCAAGGGACCAAAGTATAGTATTGGGTATCGTATCGGACAGCTCAAATATGGATACTCTTTGGAAACACATGGATATGCTAGGGACATGGACATGAATCACATAAATACATTAATAACACTAAAGCTGAATTATATATGAATAAGGTATAACACATGAGAAATGCAAACTTTAATAGATTATATGAAGAGAAACATTAGAATCGACAATATCGAGAATCTAATAACATGTACACATCATACAATAACTATCAATCTATTTCAATTTTTATAATTATAATTTTTTATTTTTATTAAATTTTTGGGATAATTAATTTATTTAGTATTTTTATATAAATAATAACTCTTTTTCAAATAAGACATAACTATTTCATTGTTGGTCTTTCCCCCCTCTTCGTTGTTTGGGAAATTTGGAAAGAATATAATAGACATCAGAGGGAGGGGAAATATTCTTGTTCCTCAACAGTGATTCAAAAAGTTATTTATTGGCTTTGAGAGATCCTTTTGCCTTCAAAAGTTTGGAAACAGCTATCTCATAGTCAAAAACTATCCATCACATGCCTTCGACTTCCTACTGTTCTAGTTCAGTCGAAGAGGTATAGATTGGTTCTTATTGAACCCCCTTGCAATGGTTTTATCAAGCTGAATGTAGATGGTGCTTCTCATGGGAATCTCAGCGTTTGTGGTGGAGGTATAGTGCAGGCAGAGAATGGGGACTTTCTTTCTGCCTTTGCAAATTTTTATGGTGAAAATAGTAATATGTATACTGAGGCCCTTGCTCTCTGGGATGGAATCATGTTGGTAAAGTCACTAGGTTTTCATTGGGTTCATATCTTTTTGAACTCACAGATTTTGGTGGATATGGTCAAGTTTCACTCCAATATGCCCTACTACCTATGGTATTGGGAAAATGATCTCCATGAGCTTGTGCAGGATATGGATTTTATCATTAAGCATGTGTATAGAGAAGGTAATCAGTTGGCCAACTCCTTTGCTAATCTGGCTTGTGACTTGCAGAAGTCGACGGTATATGAATCTATTATGTATATTCCCTCTCATGTTCATAGAATTTTTATGGATGATTGCTATGGGCTCCCTCACATTTGAGCCTTATGATTTCCTCGTTTGCGATCTAGTTTTTTGTATTTGATGTATATATTTATAAGCCAGAAAATTGGTGTATATATTTTCTAGAGGGGTAAGGTTTTTATGTGCCCCCCCCCATAGGTTTTTCATCTGAGTTTATCTTAATAAAATTTGCGGTGGTTGCCCGTCCACCGGGAGTAAATTTTGGGGTTCAATACACACACACACATAATTGTTTCATTTTACAGTTTTTATAATTATAATTTTCAATTTTTATTAAAGTTCAAAAACAATCCAAAAGTTGTCAATATACAGTTTTGTCAAACTAGGCACTGATATGCTTCCTTATCGATAACTATCGAACTGTATCCATCAATATGGAACAATATAATCTGATACAGAGGCACACGTGCTGATATGCACAACTCATGGGTACATACCCAGTCGTAGCGTATCCTGTATCCATGTTATGGATACGAATACAATACACCACATATCAGGAGTATCATATCGATACTTTAAGCCTTACTACCTCTAGAATCCATTACCTTACTAGGAATATCAAGAAATAAAAAGGTAACCTAATATGTGGAGTGATGAGTTTACATAACCATTACACTTTATTGTGGCCTTTAAAAAACCCAGACATGCTGTAAATCAAAGGATAAACCAAATCACCAACTCAGTACATACAACTTTACCATTTGAAGAAATATCTGGACACAATGCCCTCAAATTCAAGTGGAAATTCATTTATGCTGGCCACCCCCATAGTTTAACCCTAATAAGCTTCTTTCATTTGATGATACACAGTATTCCACTATAGTTTTTTTTTTTAACTCTAAAGTGTGCAATTATACTTCCTCTGGCAATCCATGAAGTTATACTATCAAATCCCACACTTAAGTAATTTTCTCAAATTCCTTTGCATTTTCCAAATATTTTTGTTAAGTAGCAAAATATCCTCAAAATGTTCTATTTCTACATGGCAAAACAGTCATTGATAGCAACATTCTGAACCGTGTATGCAACAAGAAAAAACGATCACTAAAGGATTTATTCATGTTTAAATTAGTTTAACTTTGAAATTAAAGCACTACAAATACAGATATCTATATAAAATTATAAAAGTCTTGAGAATTGCAAAATGTAACTTATCATGTAAAACTCATTCCCCAAAGGGCATATTTCTAACTTTTCAACATAAAGAATATGCCAATTGAGATATTGAGATCTACACATAACAACATTTAGTTATTACATTTCTTTATGTCTTGCCCTTGTCTCTTACACCTTTTTTTTCTTTTTCCAACTGTCAGCACTCTCCTCTCCTTATGCAAATAATCTGCAAGTTGCAATCTCTCTCTCTCTCTGTGTACATATATATGTACATACATACATACATACATATATATATAGCAACAAAAGTGTTTCACTTCCTATCTCTCTTTTTTGTCTGTCTTCATACTCCACTAACATCAGCAGCTATTTTGGAATACAACACCCATTGGCCTTCTGTTGAGGATAGTGCAGTTATTGGATTGATTTCACCTTCAATATCTTTATTTCTTATTTATTTCTGTTTATTTAGATAGCCAGGGCCACAGCTTATTTGTTGGAAATTATTATTTCATTTTAAGTTGTAAGCACCAGCCACCCTATTAAGGGTATTCTTGTCTTTGTACACATCTTTGATTTTAGGTATAGAAGTTAATGAGGGGGTGGCCAGTATTATTGGTTTTTCTTATTTTCTTCGTTCTCTCTTCTTCTCTTCTCTTCTCTTCTCTCACACACTCTTCTCCTCTTTTATATCTTTGTTATATTTCTCTTGATTTCTACTCCTTACACTGTCACAGATGAATAGAATCTAAAAATGGTCACTAGCCAACCAAGATGAGAGAAGTGATCTATTGGAAGTTCAAGGGGCAAGGACTAGGGGCAAACAAAAAAGAGTCTGGATGTGCTACCAACATGTAGTAGCATTGCTTCCAACATGATCATAGCCACAGAACTCAAACATAATTGCTGTCTCCACAGTACAACCCCATCAATGACAACATACATGCATGAAACATGAATGAGATGTGAGAGTATAAATCAAGCTGGAAGAAATGTTGCTATCAGCATGTTGGTAGAAGATTTGGACTCAGCCAAAAAGGACCATGGACTGAAGTAATAAGAAATGATTTAAGCACTTATAATTTAACAATGGATAGGGCACTGAACAGATTAGAATGCCAAAACAGGATTCATGTAGCCAACACTATATAGTTGGGACAACGCTTAAATGATGATTATGATTTTGAAGATGCATAAAAATACGATTAAAACAATTGGATTCAGAACAAGTCATGCCATACTAGTTACTTTAACAACTGGATGGACAGGATAACTCTAATCAACTCAACAGAAGCCTTGTACTAAATATATGGGGTTGGTTACATGAACCCAGTTCATAATTCTGCTCTGGCCTTATAACCATTCTAAAATTTGTGTTTTAGTCTCTCCATTTTTCCCATCCTGCTCTAATTATATGGGAAATATCCTCTTAATCTCCCCCATTGTTATGAATTAACAGATCAAGGTAATGAAAGAGATTGTAGTGAGATATCCCTAGGTCTCCAATCCTAATTTTACCCTAACTATCATTATTGTATTAATAGTTACATTGCATATTTTATATTTTAGTAGTGCTTATTTTAAAGTCTCTTGTTTTAATAGGTGAATAGTACACAATAAAACCTATCAACTAATTCTATAAAATTGTCCTCATGGAACAGCATAAACTAATGCATTTCAATGTCATATGCACCTAATTAACCACTTCAGTTTCATCATTGTCTGGTGAGAGATTAATAAGACAATTTAGTCTGGTAGCAAGAGAGGATTTATGTAGTTCAACTGGGTCAATTGCTTGGTGCAATAGTAATATCTCAACCTGACAAGCGTGAGAAGGCAGGTTTGAGTATGACAGAAGCCACTTCATATAAAAATGCTGGAGGTTAGGTCCATATCCTTGTTTTACGTGGGAGCAATCAATGCTTGTACTCTATTGATTCCTTCAATCATCTTGTGGACAATAGGCAGCACAAGATTTTGACTTCTTATGTAGCATTCTTGTTGAACCGAATAATGTTTTATTTTTCTGATCAATAATGAGTTACATTTTATTAGAAATATAAGCCAATTACAAGGAAGAGGAGAGATAAACTTTCTTATCCCTACCCCAAGAAACTAAGCGAAGCCAAAATAACGTAAAGAACCCATTACAATTGAGCCCAAAAAATAGAGGCTCTATTCACCCCTTGCTTTGCTAGCCCACCAGCAAAGAAGTTGGCACTTCTTCTAACCCAAGACACCTTGACTTCAATATCTTTTGTTAGCCATTTGAGCTGCTTCCTTTTATTTCTGTACTGATAATATGAATAAGTCCACCAAAACTAAATGAAATCATGAAAAGATTCATTGACAAGTTTTACTAGCTTGAAGGGGAGACCAACAAGCACCGTGAATTATAAGTAAAGAAAAATTATCCAGTGCTCCAATAATTGCTTGCTAATACAAATCTAAAGAAAAAATTCACTTCCAAAAAACACAACTAATAAAGAAGGTCACAGAAACAGTACATACCAATGAAATCTCTGCAACTTGAAATCCAGTGGGTGAAGTAAGTTTAGCATCATCATCAAGAATTCTCAGTGAATAAAGAACTTCAAGAGCTCTAATCACTGCCTCTGGCGATGGAGATGCAAGCCAATCAAAGCCTAAGATATTATCTATACCCAAAGCTTTCAACTGTAAAATCAGAGCAAAACAATCAGCATTTTAGAAACAACCAGAATTATTGAAAATAGCAACATAGGCTAGCAACACTTTAAGTAGATGGAGAAACAGAAGTAACTTAAGGTAACCAGATAGGTAAGAGCCAGTGTTTTAAAAGGCGTGGGAGGCGTACGCTTGGAGGTGTGCCTCCAAGCGAGGCGCTCCCAAAACGCCCTAAGGCGTATGCTAGAGGCGCTGACACCTCTAAGGTGTACGCCTCACCTCATTCACATCTTATATAAAAAGACAGAAAAAAAAAAGAAAACAGAAAAAACAAAAAAGAAATGAAAGGAAAAGAAAAGAAAGGGAAGGGTAAGAAAAAGAAAGAAAAAAAAAAAAAGAAAAGAAAAGGAAAAGAAAAGAAACGGAAAGGGAAGGGAAGAAAAGATAAGGAGAAAGAAGGTGGTTTGCCCCCTTCCCCGTCGGTTGGGGGGCTTCACCCCCCCCCCCTTTTCGATGCAGCCTAATTGTTTTTTTTTTCTAGTTAGGGGGATCTTGCTCCGCTCCAGTGAGCTCACTTCGCTCGCTCGCCTCCGCTTCAACAAGACACCCCACCTTTCAACTAATGTTATGCATTTTTTTTCTTCATAACATAAAATATTTTTTTTAAAAATAAAGAAAAAAATGAGATTCACCCCCTTCCTCCTAACCCCCCTCCTCTTAAGGAGGCTTACGCCTCCTTGTGTTCGGGAGGCTTACGCCTCTTGCGTTCTGAACTATGCCTCATGCCTCTAGGTAGTGGAACGCCTCGCACCACACCTCCACATTTTAAAACATTGGTAAGAGCACATTTAAAAAGGAAAAAAAGAGCACAGGATTACCAAATGCATGCCAGACAGCTTTACTACATGGCCCTTTTTCAAATGCCATGGAAATTTGAGTTATCCCTGTCTTATGGTAGATGAATGGAGAATGTGCTCTATGGAGCCTAATCTACACACAAGTAGTTGGCAAACCTTTCAAGAAAGAGCATGTGATTATTTATCCAAAACAAAAAGAACAACAAAATCCACATTTTTGTTTTATTCATTGCTTTAATAACATTACCTCACATTTGGCCAATTTAAAAAAAAAAATCATAAGATTTGCAACAATAAGTTTGCTTCGAAACTACCATTTTGTTTCCTTTCAATGTTAGATCTTGGCTGCCAATTTACGTTACATATGAATAATCTTTAGAATTTGTGCTTTTAAACCATAAATTGTTTTGGCCTTAAATTGTAATGTTTTTAAAAAGCAACTCTTACCAAATGCTCAAAATGCTTTTTAAGTTTATAGCTCATTTTTGTACCACACAGATCAAAGCTTAAAAGTAAAAGCTCATCCAAATGGAGCCTTAATCTAACCATATCCTTCCTTCAAATGTTTTGTTTAAATATAAAAATAAATAAATAAACAAGGATAAGTGTTTGGGTCCACAACCATCTGACAGTTCCACATTGGGTTTTGCATTAACAACAATTATTATTGCTACAAATAACAACTAAGCAAAACAGAGCCAATAAATGCATAGAAAATGGATCCACTGCTAAATAATAGTTCCATTTCATGGACCAATGAACTTGTCCCTTTTCTGTCCCAATACTGAAGCAGTAAATAGTCTCAACATTAATATCCGTAGTGAGCGCAGGAATGACAACAAATTTGCATACTTGAATAACACAAGAAACAAGGTTTGTTCTCTGCATCTCTGGGATCCCCTGAGTAGACATTTCCTTGACAAAGTACTCTTCTGTATATAACCTGTTTATGATCCACAAGTAAAAGACAAAGAATAAGTGCATTATAGAATTATTTAACAGAAGAATGATGTGAAATGTGTCTGTATGTATGCATGAAAAGAGATATAATGAGCTTCAATAATAGACAGAATAATGGAAATTAGTAGGGAGATAGCAGGAGATAGGCCATATGTAGATTGTTGCTTTGCTACAGAAAATCATTCTTCAAATATCATTAATTAATAATATCTTCACAACCAATCAAAAAAATAAAAAAAAAAATGATGTTAAGGGTTAGGATCCTAAGCACCAGAAATAAATTTCTTTACAGCATAGACTATGAACACCTCTTGAATAACGTGACTGAAGCAACAACCGATTGGTTTGTTATTAAATGGTTCAATTGCTGAGACAGAGGGAGACATATACAAGCACAAGTCAGAGAGAGAGAGAGAGAGTACGGTCTCCAACAGTCCGACTTCTTATATGCATCCTTTATTATCCTCAACTCTCATAAATCAACCATCATAGGCATAGCATAAGGAGAAGAGTAATCACCCCAGAGGAAAAATAAGATAAGCAAAAGTTACATTTCAATACCCCCCCCCCTCATCAATCATCTCCAAATTATAATAACAATAACAGAAACAATAATATAACAAAGACAGTGATGAAGATGATGATAATAGCTAGATCTGCTGCTTCCTACACCCAAGTAATGTTCCAGGGAGAATTCTCATCCATCTGGAATGACAGAAATGCAAGAACTTTCCAGGGGAAAAAAATCTCAAACTACAGAGGCTATCATAGAGAACATTTTGGTAAAGATGGCATACTGGGTAAAGTCACTGAAGTATTTTGCACCTTTCTTGATAGACAACATCCTAAGAGAATGGCTAGCAACCTAGGACCTTTAGGTAATGGTGGAATCTTCAGAAAATGGGATGCTACCATCATAACAATTCAAGTGGGCAGCCCAGTGCACGAAGTTCCCGCCAATGCAGGGTCTGGGGATAGAAACAGCCTTACCCCTGCAGATACACAGAGAGGCTGTTTCCAAGATTTGAACTCTGGTCACCCGAGTCGCAATGGAGCAACCGAACCATTGCACCAAGGCCCACCCTCTCTTTCACCATAATTCAAGTAGCCCAATAAAATATGATACATAAACTATTTACTTCAACAAAAACTTTAAAAGAAGCAGAAAGCATTCCTAACGAGTATTCATTTGTGGCAAGTTACCGGTAACACTTTCCTGGCCGTACCCTTCCAGCTCTACCAGCTCTTTGTCTAGCAGATGCCTGGGATATTGGTGCCACTACCAGGTTTTCAATGTTTGAAATCTGTACCTCCAAAGGAAATACCACAAGTAAGTCAAATTTCCAAAAACATAAAAAAAATATTCTTTCTAATTAAATAAAATCAAGCATAAGAGAAAGGGTTCTACATGAACAGCTCTGAACACATACACACATATGGGTTATCTCCCTTCTTTACATATTAAGACAATATTTTACCAATGTAATATAGAAAAATGAGAGTGTCATCCATAGACAAAATTGAATCATGAAAAAATAGGAATTATTATTACTTTTTGTTTGATACCCATCCAAAATTAATTATCCACAATTTATCAGAACAGGAGGACTTCATAACTCAGTACTGAAAATTGTAACGAAGCACCCATTGTATATACAATGTAATGATTTTATTCTATGCAACAAATAAACTAGAAGGTCAACAATCCATGGCACAATAGATCCATCATTCTAGATAAAGATGAGATCAAGGTCGGAGATGTTTGTGGATGTTAGAAAGGTAGGGAAAATGGAGGAAAGAATGACACTATTACAGGCGAGTTTGCTCGGAAGAATTGTTGGGAGAGAAATGGAGATTGAAAAAATTGAAACTTGGGCGGTGTTGGAATGGGGAAAAGAAAAGGTCATGGGGATTAGAAAGCTTAATGGAGGCTCATTGTTGTTTATGTTCCACAACAAACAGTATGCAGAGTGGGTTTTAAAGACAGTAAGTTCAAAGAAGAAAGATTTTGACCTGGGATTAGGTTGGTGGTATCCGGTGGCAAGGGAAGCCTATGCAAATAGGAGAAGACATGTGATTTGGATTGGGGTGGTAGGTATTCCTTTGCATTCTTGGAGCATCTTAACTTTAAAAGTAGTAGGAAATCACTGCAGCAAATTCTTGAAGTTTGACGCTAAGAACAGATCGTAGGAGAAGTCGGACCCGGCAAGGATAATGACAGTGGAGGAGAAGGGATTGAGTGGAGCAAGAGACGATGTTGGTGAAGGGGTGAGGAAGGAAATGGTGGAAAGGAAGGGTGCTGAAGGTCACACTGGCTTCAAAGCTGAGGAGAAGTTGGAGGAAGAGAGGAATTCAAAGAGTTAGGAGAAAGAAGATGAGGTGGCAGTCTTAGAGGAGGGGCAAGGATGACATGGAGGGAATGGGGTTGGTGGTCCTTAAGTGGAAGACAGATGGCGGATGAATCATATAAGATGGTAGAAGATCAACAGTCGTGTGAGATGTGGGGCCCACATTTGGGAAGATAAATTGATTTATGTTGGGCTTGAGGATCCAAAAGCAGATAAATAATCATAGAAGACATGGGATTGCAAAGGATGAATGGGTGTGGGTTCTGACAAGGTTCAAAAAAGGTAAGAATCTCAATAATTGAAGCAAGGAAGACAAAGGCGACAGTGAATGGTTCTCATTGTAAAGTAGAAGCTCAACAAGAGGATGTTCAGGCAGCTCAAAAGGAGATCCAAGAAAAGGTGTTTTCACACTGTAGCAAGGAGGATTGCCAGTCGAAGCCCAAGTGCTGGAAAATCAAGTCAAAGTTGAGAACATTTCTTTTGGCAGCAATGATATCTCAGTCTGTTAAAAAAACTAAATGCTGAGGACTGAGGTAAGTTCAGTCCCTCTTCCCTCTTTGTCTGGGCATTTGGAGAAGAAGGGAAGTTGAAAGGGGTGGTCAGGGAAATGGCATGAAGAGGAAATCACAAGGGGAGTGTGACAGACTTGGGCAACAGCAGAGTGTATAATAAAAGAGAAGATTTTCACTAAAGGGAAGTGGAGGAATTGAGTCTGCAAGGGGAGAAGTAGATGTTAGGGGGAAGGGGGCAGAGGAAGGGAGGGTGGTGAGGTGACAGGTCACAGAAGAAGGGAATTTTCTGGCAAAGAAAAAAACAGCTGAAGAAAGGGTGGAGATTGAACAATTGGTGGAAAGACAGGTGGAGTTAGGAAAATCACTTGGATTATTCTTTTTGGTGGGGAGAGGGTGGTCAGAAAGGCAATTGAACAACTCAAAAGGAATAGGAGGGAAAAATATAATAAAATGAAAATAGTGGGGGAAGGGGGAGAGGTGTGGGAGGAAGGAGAAGGGCGGGAAGAGGACTTTTCTGAGGAAGAGTGAATGGAGTTGCCTGAAAGCTAATAAGGGAGGGGTGAGGTGTTTGAAGGTGAGTGAAGAAATAGTTGATGAGCCACGAGTGTGGGGTTCTATACCCACACTCAGGCTCTAGTGTGTGTGGTTCCATAACCACACACTGTTGTTTCTAATTTCTTTTAAGATGGGCCGGCTGGCCTTATCCATATTATGTTTATCCTTTTTGTTGTTTTATTAGGACTAGAACTTTTGTTTATTTCCTATTCTTGTAAGGAACCTAAAGCTATAAATAGAGAGGTGTATGGGGCGGCAGATACATCAATCACCGAATCCCTTCTTTCTCCTCCTCTCTTTCAGTCTTTCACTGAAGGTGAGGAGTGACTGATGAGGGATTCAGTTCTTGTTTTTACCCAGTTTAGGTTTCAGAATATATACCAAATGCTTGTTTTTGGTCTTTTTATATCAGAATAATCTGGTATCGTTTCTGCTACTCCCTACATTTTTCTTGTTTTTGTTTTCCTCCTTCCCTTCCTTCTGGGAGCAAACTCCATTCTCCTCGTGTTCTTACTTTTTTTTCCTCTAATAAATTATCTTTGCTATCAAAAGGAATCTCCACATTAACTCTCCAGTCAGAAAGGTTACCTAATTGGCATCAACAACAAAAGATACTCATTTCTACCATTTTTTATATTGGTAAAGGAAACTTTGTTGATAACAAGAAAGAGACACTCGTCAAGCCTGTCGGCCCTGTCCAAGGAGAACGATTCTTTCTAATTTCAAAGTATTCAACATAAGAATTTACTCTCTTTTGTGATGATCAGGTCAAACTCCTCATTAACATCACCTAGGAGTATTTTTCCATAAAAGCAAATGCACCACTTGACACTCCTCGAACATTTTTCTTTTTGATCATAACAAATTTAACTAAAATTAGTATTCAGTAAATTAGAAATTTACAAAAGAAAACGAATGTACATCCTCCAAAAAGTAGATTTACTTTATAAAAGTAAATGTATTAGTGATTAATGCCTCACTAACTCTTTCCCCTTGGAATCAAAATCAAATCTGTTCATCTCTTTAAAATCCTTCTATGCCAAAGCCTAATCCATCATGAAGTAGCTGATACCCTTACAACTTCTATGCAAAAGATCCAGGTTTCTCCACAGATACTTTGGTTCCTCTCCTATATACCCTAAAGTATTGCAAATGGGTTGATTCTACACAAAATTGCTCCTCTAGATTCAAAGAATATTCAAAGCCATACTTGTAGCAGCTGTGAATCCCAAGCTGATAACTTCCACTCTTCATCCAATGAAAAGAAAAGCTCCAAATTTTCTTTGATGTTTTGCACAAGAGAAACAAGTGATTCATATCTTCTTCAACCTTCTGGAAAAGGAAACAAGTGTTTTGGTCATGGAACATCACTTTTGCTTATGTTTCAACATACCTGTTGGTTTTTACAAATGTAAGGTACACGACTGAGGATTCATTTTTTTTTTAGCTTTTTTGCATTTTGTTTTTTTCCATGACTAATTTACTCAAGTAACAAGAATTCCTTTCTTAAACTTTTTAAGATTATTTGACTGTAATAAAATAGCAAAACCAAGCCAGGGACAGAGAACTTTTTAAATGACCTCACTTCTACTTGTTTGACTAGTACTCCAAAGTCCAGCCATGGTCATAAAATCATTGAAAAGCATGGACATACTTTTAAAAAGTGTCAAGTGATATGCAACATCATCATCATCATATGGGTTTGGCTACATGAATCCTGTCTCGCTAACCCAATCTATTTAAAGTCATTTACACTGTAAAATCATTGGTGCTTAAATCATTTCTTACTACTACCCATATCCACAGTCAAGTGATATGCAACAACATAGTATACATAAAAGCACAAAAAAAAAAGAAATGAAGAAAATAGAAGCCTCACATCAAAATGTAGTTATACATCAAGAACCAAGCTGGTGCAAACAAAGATTGTCAGTGCAAAGCCAAAAATTTGCAGCAAAACATTAAAAAAAAAATTGAACTATATAGTTATTTTCTTAGAAAAAGAGTCTTTGTTCCCAGCAATATAAATAAATAACAAATAAAGCCTCAAAGACCAACTTGAAGAGATCCAACGGAAACAGGAAAAAGGATTAAAAATCTTCATTTTTTCTATAATATATGAGGTAAAAGCATGGTACTAGAACAATAATCAAACATTCTAATACAGACAAAATACACACCAATAGGATGAAAATGAGGATACCGGATTATAGAAGCGCTGTTTTGAAAACCCACTATCCACAACGTAAACAATGCCCTGTATGATTTGGACATACGAAAAATATGAAAATCATGTAATTCTAGGATAATGCATGCTTGCCTAAAGCAGTTACTAATACTAAACATATAACAAAGCATGGCCTTCAGATTTAACAAGTTACCTCCAAGGTCAATGATGTCTCTGCAATATTAGTTGATATAATAATCTTCCTCTGTCCTCTAGGGGTTGGAGAAAACACAAGGTCCTATCAAAGAAAGCAGGATGTTTACCAAGATGAAGATTGCAACTAAACGTCTAAAGCAATGAAGTATGGGTCATACAAAGCTAGGAACCACGATATATGTCACCAACCTGTTCTGCACGTGGAAGGCCCGAATACAGAGGCAAAATAATTAACCCTGAAAATGGATGAGTTTATCAGATAGGAGTAGATACTAGGAACCACAAAGAATCGGGAATTGTAATGCTCCTGAAGGCTAAAACTAATACGAATACCCCAACCAGTTAAGAAAGAGATTTTGCAGTGAAGTTCTATAATTATTTAGAATACCCCTCCAAACATCTGAGCACAAGTGATGGATGTAAACCCAGTGATTTCAAAGGTGCACCTAGGCGCACAAGCAAGGCACATTTTAGGGGATGCACCTCAATGAGGTCCTAGGCGCAACACTTTAACCTAGTGCGCCTTATGCTTCAACCCAGGTGCATTTTTTCTGTTCTTTTATTCTTAACAGCTGGGTTGGAGACTCTGCCCCAGACCCCC